CACAATAATATTTTTATTTTATAAAATATTTTTATTTTATATATAAAAATTATATATATTATATAAATGAGCTTTCTAAATGAGCTTGTGACTTATAAGAATTTTAGAATTTTTATTTTTCTAATAAGAATCAATTTTCAACGGGGTTTCGGCTAAATGGTCCTTTCTCTTTAGTATCCTTTCTGGGCCAGTTTTTCTTTCACAATTTTACTTCATGGTTACTTTGCTATAAGTCTTACATTTATATGCTTCATTTGTAAATTAGTATATTTTTGTTCCTTTCTTTTTTTCCAAAACCTTTGTTTCTGGGGATTTCCGTGGCTACCAGAATTCTCTTATATTATGCTTTTTTTTTTAAAGTCATAATATATTATATTTCTTTTTGCTCCTTCCCCTCCAAAAGCTGTTTCGTTATTTTTATGTAATCAAATTTACTGTCTTTGGACATGATTGACGAGGCGTTTAGTTTTTCTTTTCAAGGTAATGCATGAAACCAATTACCGTCTTTGAAGGGACCCTTGCATGGGTTTTCTAACAGTTAATTCTTTTAGCTTTAACGAGGATAGCTAAAGTTAAATTTTATCTTGGTAACTACTTTTGGGATTGTGCTTTATTCATGTTGTCAATAACAATGTAAATGGTCTTTTTTTAATGAAGTGCTTTGTACTTCGAAACCACTGGCCACGGTAACGGAAACAGTTCTTCCACAGTGCTTTACAAATGCAGCATGGCGTAGGTGCAGACTCCTAAAGAGAAGAGCTGGCTAACAAGGAGGAATAGGAAGAAAATGATGAGCTGCTGAGCAGTGATCATAGGGCACTTCAGTGGGCAAATGGGTTATCAGGCATCAGTCTAGCCTGAGGGGCAAAACCATGGTGGGTCTTGACCAGGCAAAGGAGAATGAGATTATGTGTTTTTCCTTTGTGTATCTTCGGCTTATTTAAGCACTCGGCTTTGAGGTTGATTTTATAAGCTGTTGTTTCCGCCATTGCAGATTTGCCTCTGGTTAGGGCTATCCAAATTGAGGTGTACATGCACAACGGCTTTCCTTGGGGCGTTTTCTTGACAGAATTCTTCTTTTTATTAATATACTTTGGAGTAGGGACTAATTAGAGAGGGACTTTTAAAACAAGCTAAGTGAATTTCCTCCTTTTAGGGCACGATCGATAAAGCCTGTTGCACTTTCTTGAACCTCTCTTTTGATCTTTGGCATTTCCTTCTATGAGCTGTGTTATTAATTTTAGAATTTTATTTTTTCTAATAGAAGTATAGATATTGTGATATTTTGGTTGGTAAAAATCCCAGAGAAAGAATTCTGTTCATCCGTCATAACACTGAATAACATTATTCTCGTTCCTCTTCTTTTCAAGCATGACAGTTTCTCTTTTAATTTTTTTTTTTTTTTTTTTTTTTTTTTTGAGGACAAGTCTGACATTCTGTTGCCTGGGTTAAGTGCACGCTGTTGGCAATTCAGCTAGCCGAAGAACCTTATCTGGGGCTCCAAGGCATTTCTCCTGCCTTTCAGCCTTCCCAAGTAGCTGGGAATAGGATGCGCCCTGCAGGCTTAATTTTTTATATAAGGTTGCCGTAATTCTTCTTTTTTATTTTTTTTTGAGGACGAGTCTGGGCTTTGTTGCTCGGCTAGGTGAGTTGGCCATGGCGTGCTAGCTCACAGGGGCCACCTCAATCCTGGCTCAAGCAGATCCTGCTGCCTTCAAGCTTCCCGGTAGCTGGGACATAGGCATTGTGCCATTCCTGGCTATTTTCATAAATTAGTGGCATTATTCTCTATTTTAGTAGAGGATGGGTCTCGCCTTGCTTTTTCAGGTCGGTTAACTCCTGACCTTTCCAGCGTCCCCTTGCCTCAGCTCCCAGAGTGCTGGATTTACAGGCGTGACCAAACACGTTTCTGGGCCTCTTTTATTTATTATTTGCTTTGACACTGTCTCAAAAAAAAAAAAAATTCAAGACACTTATTATATATCTACTAGTCTTGTCCTAAGATACCACTACTATCTTATATGTGAATTTTGTTCTATATTTGCAGGTTTTTAAAAAAAATTTATTAGATTCTCAAATTTTCTTGTAGGATAGGTAGTGTAGTAGGGTTTATTGACACCATTTTTGAGAATGTGTCTGTGGCTTTGAAACTTTCAGTTGCTTGCCCAGTGTCCCATATCTAGTTAAGTGTCCGGACTTCTGGGTTCTAGAAGATGCAGCCATCGTTAAGTATCACTTGAAGTGTTGATCCTGAGCAACAAGGTTCATACCTAAATTCCCATTTAAACCTTTTGTATTTTATATTCCTAGGTCTGCAGAGACAGCCTTTCTCTGCATGCATTTATATAATTGTGATGATTAATTTATATTTGCTTGCTGGAAATTCCCTGATTTCAGCTTTGGAACATATTGGGACAGGCTGTTTTTCATAAAGGAAATTTTATGTCTTTAATTTTATAATGCTCTGGGAAATACCATTTCTTTAGGTGAGGATACCCAGGTGAATTCCATCTGACTAAGGTTTGAAGAAATTTAAGTGATTTTTCACTTTCAGAAATATTTATGGTTTTAGTGTCTTTTAAAAAGCCTGGAACTTGGCTTCTATGGAACACTACCACCCTGCTGAAGTGAACTTGAAGGGAGCAGGAGTGGAACCTGCCCTGTCTCTGGATCCCTGGCTTCTGTGCTCTGCTCTTCCACCTTATCCCACAAATACAGATATTTTAACTATTTTCAAATCCCCTATGTAGCCATTATAGGGTGGGCTTTAAGCACTATAGTGAACATGCATTTTTTTTTTTACTTTTTCTTTCTTTTTTAATCTTGTTATATTTATAGAAATATTTTTCTCTTTGCCTTTTCATAGTGTCCAAATAATCTCCTCCCTGACAGTCAAAAACCCAGTACTGGCCGGGCACAGTGGCTCACACATGTAATCCTAGCACTCTGGGAGGCCGAGGTGGGCGGATTGCTCGAGCTCAGGAGTTCGAAACTAGCCTGAGCAAGAGCGAGACCCCATCTCTACTATAAATAGAAAGAAATTAATTGGCCAACTAATATATATATAGAGAAAAAATTAGCCGGGCATGGTGGCGCATGCCTGTAGTCCTAGCTACTCAGGAGGCTGAGGCAGTAGGATCACTTGAGCCCAGGAGTTTGAGATTGCTGTGAGCTAGGCTGACGCCACGGCACTCACTCTAGCCTGGGCAACAAAGTGAGACTCTGTCTCAAAACAAACAAACAAACAAAACAAAAAAACAAAACAAAACAAAAAAAAAACCCAGTACTGCTTTTGGCTATTTTATGCCATAAAACATGAAATTATATATTTCAGGTAAATTTCACACTTCCTAAGCAGATTGATGTAAATTGAATTTCACATTAATCAGACAGAGCAACATACATCTCCTATCCTGTGGAAATTTATGATTTTTTACTCACTTGAATGAAGTGTTATAGGGTTTTTTGTTTGTTTCACTGTTTACCCACTGATATTTTTGGAGCTTTGTTCTTACCTGTGTTGCTACCTAATTATTATTATTCTAAAATGTTTATTTCAAGGTTATTCAGTCTCATATTAGATATGTTATTTCCATAAAAGTAAAATATTATGTATAAATATTATCGCCTATATTATACTTTTATTACAAAAACCATCAGTAAGTCTATCATCAAGTATTTATTGAGTACCTATCAAGGCATTAGTGGGAAGCAATTAAAAATAATGAAATATGCTGTTGGCAGAGTTGCTTATTTTATAAAGAAATACAGACTAGAACAGAAATATCCAAGTATATCTCTGGTAGTAAGGGTAAATATTGTTTGGTGAAATTTTGTTTCCATTATATATACTTTTGTTTCATATATACATAAATTATAGAAATGTTCTCCTGACTCATTGACTTAGGAACTTTATGATTTTCTTGCTATGACCCCAAAGAGTCCATGAGGAGATTTAAGCATTATATATGTTTAACAGAAATGAATATGCAAACAGTGTTATGGAGAACTTGATACAAGTCACCTTTACAAGGTAAAATCAAGTATGTGTCTAAATAATATTATATTTTAAACCTCAAAACTGATCCCTGTTGCCATGTAACACGTCCTAAGTTCACAACCCACTTCTTCAGGGATCATAACTAACCATCCACTTGTAGATGGATCTCAGAGACCACTATGCTTGAATTCTCGATTGGCTGCCACCAAAGTGTCTCCTAATGGACTTTCCCACTGGGAATGGACTGTGGCTGACAGTGACACCACTTCCCAACTCCACTCAGTCTTGTCCCCTGATGTTTATAAGGTTTCCAGGATCTCTTTAGGAAGGTCTAGCTGATGAATAAGTTCCATGAGAGCAAGTGCCTTCCCTTTGTCTTTCACACATGTCTAGTGTTTAGCAAGTATCTGCACAAAGGCAGTCGTGCATTCAATTCAAGGGTTTGCTAAATGAGTCCTTCTCTTTAGCTATCCTTTCCCTGGCCAAGTTCTTTCACAAGATATACCTTCATGGTTTTACTTTGACTTTTATAAGTCTTACATTTAAATATTGACAATTCATTTGTTAATTAGTATAGTTTTGTTCCTTTCTTTTTCCAAAACCTCTGCTTTTCTTGGATTTCCATGCTTAACAGAATATCTCTAAATTATGCATTTATTTTTTAAAAGTCATTATTTATATACCTATTCTTTTTGCTCCTTCCCCTCCAAAAGCTGTCAGAAATTATTTTATGGTAATCAAAAAATTTAACATGTCTTTGTGACATGATAGAACAGAGCAGTTAGTTTTTCTTTTTCAAGGTAATGCTTGAGGTACCAATACCGTCTATGAAGAGACCCTTTGCACTGGGGAATTTCTAAAGTAATTCCATTTAGCTTAAACAGAAGGATAAGCTAGAGTTAAATTTCTGGTACTACTTTGGACTTGTGCTTTATTCATGTTGTCAATTAACAAAATGTAAATGGCTTCTTTATTTTAATGAAAGTGCTTTGTTACTTAGAAAACAACAACTGGCCACTGAGTATAACCGGAAACAAGTTCTCCAACAGTGCTTTACAAAATGGCAGCATTGGCGTGGTGCAGAGCTCCTAAAGAGAGAGCTGGCTCAAACAAAGGAGGAAACTAGGAAGAAAATGGATGAGCTGCTGAAGGCAGTGTCACTAGGGAAACTCAGTGCAAATGGGTCATCAGGCATCAGTCTACCTGAGGAGGCAATAGCCATGGTGGGTCTACCAGCAAGAAATAGAGAGGTATGTTGTTTTTCCTTTGTTTGATCATCCGGCTTATTAAGCACTAGCATTTGAGCTTTGCACTTTTATAGCTAGTGTAAATCAGCCATTGTCAGATTGCCTTGTCTAGGCTATCAAAATATTAGAGCTGCTACCATGCACAAAGCTTACCTTTGGGCAGTATTTATTATCTTGAACAGAATCTTCTTTTTATAATTACATATAAACTTTGGAAGGTAGTAGGGACATAATATAGAGAGGGGACTTAAAACAACTAAGTGAAATCCTCCTTTAGGCACAGATAGATAAAGCACTGTTTGCAACTCTTGAACTCCTCTCTTTTGATCTTTGGACATTTCCTTTCTAAATGAGCTTGTGACTTATAAGAATTTTAGAATTTTCATTTTTCTAATAAGAAAAGTCATATGTACTAATTGTGATAATTTTGTAGGTAAAAAAATCCCAGAGAAAAAAGAAATTCTGTCATCCGTAGATAACCACTAATAACATGAAGTATAACCATCTAGTCTCCTCTCTTTTCAAGCCCATGTACATTTGTCTCTTTTAATTTTTTTTTTTTTTTTTTTTTTTTTTTTTTTTTTGAGACAAAGTCTGACTCTGTTGCCTGGGCTAGAGTGCTGTGGCATGTGGCATCAGCCTAGCTCACAGCAACCTTAAACTCCTGGGCTCAAGCAATCCTCCTGCCTCAGCCTCCCAAGTAGCTGGGACTATAGGCATGCGCCACCATGCCAGGCTAATTTTTTCTATATATTTTTAGTTGTCCAGCTAATTTCTTTCTATTTTTCTTTTTTTTTTTTTTGAGACAGAGTCTCGCTTTGTTGCTCAGGCTAGAGTGAGTGCCATGGCGTCAGCCTAGCTCACAGCAACCTCAAACTCCTGGGCTCAAGCGATCCTGCTGCCTCAGCCTCCCGAGTAGCTGGGACTATAGGCATGTGCCACCATCCCTGGCTAATTTTTTCTATATACATTAGTTGGCCAATTAATTTCTTTCTATTTATAGTAGAGATGGGGTCTCGCTCTTGCTCAGGCTGGTTTCAAACTCCTGACCTCCAGCAGTCCACCTGCCTCAGCCTCCCAGAGTGCTAGGATTACAGGCGTGAGCCACAACGTCTGGCCTCTTTTAATATTTTATTTAGCTTTTAAATTTTCTTTAGTCAGATCATTGAGGAAATCTAGCCTGTTATAATTCAGGAAAAGGAAGGCCATGATTTTTTCTTTTTAATACTAATATAATTATTCTGCTTGTCAAAAAAAATTTTTTTTGCATTTTCACAATATAACATGAGAATTTCTATATGGACTGTATATACTTCTGCAGCAGTATTTCTCACTGACAATATACCTCAGAATCAGACATACTAAATCAGGATTTCTGGGTGTGTGGTGGCTGTATTTTTTTTAAATTTCAACACGTGAACCTAAGACATATCCCCTGATTAAGGACTACCATTCTGTGCCATCATTTTATAATGACTACATGATATTCTGTAATGAACCATAAACTAGAATCTGTTTAACTCTTCTGTGGTCAGAGTTTAAGTTGTTTCCTGTTTGCCACTATTATAAACAACGTTTCAGTAAATATCCCAGTAGCTAAATCTTTGCACATATCCATGATGTTTTATTAGGATGATACCTAAAAATAGAATATGTGTTCTATTTTCATCTTAATATTGCTTTAATATTTGCATTTCCTTGATTACTAGCGAGATTAAACATTTTTATATTGGTTATACAGTCATGCACAGCATAATGATGGTTTGGTCAGCAACTGACTGCATATTTGATGGTGATCCTGTAAGATTATAATGGAGCTAAAAAATTCCTGTCGCCTAGTGACTTCCAGATGGTCCTGACCATGTGTAAGCCTAGGCTAATGTGTGTGTTTGTATCTTAGTTTTTAACAAAAAGCTTAAACATTTTTTTAAAAACCCACAATAAATATTTTATTTATAAAATATTTTATTTATATATATTTATATTTATATATAAAATTATATATATATATAAATGAGTTTCTAAATGAGCTTGTGACTTATAAGAATTTTAGATTTTTATTTTTCTAATAAGAAAAGTCATATATATATATGATATATGATTTATAATTATATTTATATAATATATATATATATATAAATATATTATATATTACATTTTATTTTATATATTTTATTTTAAAATATTTTGGCCGGCGCGGTGGCTCACGCCTGTAATCCTAGCACTTTGGGAGGCCGAGGCGGGAGGATTGCTCAAGGTCAGGAGTTCGAAACCAGCCTGAGCGAGCCTGTCTCTACCAAAAATAGAAAGAAATTAATTGACCAACTAAAAATATATATACAAAAAATTGGCCCGCATGGTGGCACATGCCTGTAGTCCAGTACTCGGGAGGCTGAGGCAGGAGGATTGCTTGAGCCCAGGAGATTGAGGTTGCTGTGAGCAAGGCTGACGCCATGGCACTCACTCTAGCCTGGACAACAAAGTGAGACTCTGTCTCAAAAAAAAAAAAAAAATATTTTTGTACAGCACACAGTGTTTGGGTTTAAACTAAGTGTTACCACAAAAGAGTCAAAAAGTTAAAAAAAATTTTAAAGTTTATAAAGTAAAAAAGATATAGTAAGCTAAGGTTAATTTATTATTGAAGGAAAAAATATTTTAAAAATAAATTTAGTGAAACCTAAGTGTACAGTGTTTACAAAGTCTGCAGTAGTATATGGTAATGTCCTAGGCCTTCACATTCACTCACCACTCACTACTGACTCACCCAGAGCAACTTCCAGTCCTGCAAACTCCATTCATAGTAGGTACCCTATACAGGTGTACCATTTTTTTATCTTTTATACTGTACTTTAATTGTACCTTTTGTATGTTTAGATACACAAATACTTACCACTGTGTTTCAATTGCCTACAGTATTCAGTACAATAACATGCTGTCCAGGTTTGTAGCCTAGGTGCAATAGGCTATACCATGTGGCCTAGGTGTGTAGTAGGCTATACCATCTAGGTTTGTGTATGTACATGCTATAATGTTGGCACAGTGACAAAATTGCCTAACAGTGCACTTCTCAGAACATAACCCTGTCGTTAAGCAATGCATAACTATATATATGGATATAGAAAGAAAGATACAGGTGCATAGTGACTTGTCTCTTCATGTCCTTTGTCCATTTTTCTATTCGGTTACATTTCTTATTTATAGGAGCTCTTTATATTTTTTAAGACTATTGATGCTTTTATATGTTACAAACAATTTTTCTACTTTTTCATTTGTCTTTTTGGCTTAGTTATGGTGTTTGGTACTATGCACAGCTGTTAAGTTTTTATAAAGTCAATCCTGTCAATGTTTTCTTTCATCATTGCACTTGTCATGTTTAGAAAGGCTCCTGGAGAAGATCCTGTACCCCTTCCCCTCAATCCTCCAAGTAATGCCATTAAATACTTAACTCAGACATGTGAAATTAAATAGGGCACTGGAGGGTCCCCAGCCTTGCTTTTTACCCTGATTATTGCTAGTAAGTAGGCTGGTTTTAATTTAAGCTTATTCTCTCGGCAAAGGGGCATCATGAGGATCCTTACTGGGACTTATGTAACATTTTAGTCCCTTCCCCTAGGCAATTAATCTACCTTTATGTCAGTTAGATAATTTTTGTCTCCATTGAGACCCAAAAGAGACGTCTATCTTAAGAAATAGCTGTATGGAACATTTTACCTCACAAAGATCCACAGCTATTATCCTTAAATGAAGAAAAGTCAGCAGAACGTATTTTTTAACCTGTGCAAAACAGAAAAATCACTATATATGTTTAGACTCAAGGAAAAAAGCCTCCAAATCTCCAAAATCAAGAACAAAAGATTTTTTTCAAGAAAGGATAATATTATTTTAAAAAATAGAGCAAATGAAAGTAGAGAGATTCAATAGACTCTGCAGGTTACTAAATAAACTAATCTTTTCCAGAGTATAGAGTAAAATATGAACAAATAAAAATAAAAAATCTTTAGTTGGATGTTCATTAATTATACAGTCATAGGAAGCCATGTACTGTGTACCAAGAACACACATATTGTACCTTGAAATTTTTCAAAATTATCTGTTAGCTAATAGGTGATTTTCTCTAATTAAGCCAGACTGTTCACTCTTGTTCTATTAAGTACAATCTGTACTGTTAAGCTTTTCTTTCTTTCTCTTATTTTCACCCTAAAAAGTTACCATGATCTAAAAGAAATCCTGTTGCTTTACTCAAGGCTTTTTACACAGTCTTGCTGGGTTAATAACATGTCATTACCACAAAGTTTAAAAGAGCCTAAAACACACACCCGGCTTGATGCTAAATTACTTAAGCAGGTGTTCTCATGAATAAGTGTTCACTGACATTTCTGAAATAAAAGGTTATTTTCAAAAGTCTTTAACATGTCAAAGTTTCCATATATCACAACTTTCACTTCAGCTCAGTCTGTAGAAAGCATTTCCATCATCATGAAAAATATTTTTGAGTACTTTGAAGGTGGCATCCTATTAGAGCTAGAAGCTTCTGATATTAGATCGCTTTAAGTATATTTTTCTTTATGCCACTGCAAATGGCAGAATCAAAAATTGGTCAAATCTTAGACCGTGGAATCAAACCATTCTAGAAGAGACATTTTAACTTGACATTATCTTGGCCAGAATAAGCTTTTCTGAATAAGAATTCTTGTTTCTTTCTCCTCTGTATAGAACTTGTAATTGAGTATGATACTTTATTAATTAGATGAGATTTATATGATAAAGCTTTGAAAACTATTAGGTCTTATGCTAATACAAAATATTATTAGGTAACATTACTCATATAATGCAGATATTTGCCCAGTGATCCTGGGCTTTCAAATATTTTCTACCAATAGATAGATAGCAGGAGATAAATAGCAGGAGACTGTAAGGTAGGCTTTAAACCAAGCCATGATGCTAAAATAAATAAATACCCTGTAGTGTGGCAAATGATTGACTATCTTACCAGTGGCAGGAGAGGCATTGAAAGAACAGAGCTATTATTGATTTGTAAAGGTATTCTTTAGTTTTCAAACATTCTTAAGAAAGAATATATCCTTTAACACAATATTTTCAAATTTCTTCAAAATTCAGAATTCATGCATTTTAAAATTCCTGTTATGTGTATATATGTGAAGTAATCACCCAATTCACAAATGAACTGTCTAAATTAGAAATTTATAAGAGAACATTTTTCCTATTGCAACTGTCCTGGCCCATGGCAGTGGTTCATGCAGCTGTAGCCAGTCTCCCACCCAGTTTTCATGGTAAGCGGCAGTCCACGTTTTAAGAGTAGCTCAGAGAGCTAAGGTTGGTGGCCTGTGAGTTAGCCAGGCCAAGAGCACAGAGCAACTCTAGCTGGGGTGCAGGGAAGAACAAAACAATACTGACTAGACGAATATTGGATCTCATCGGCACATCCTTTAAATAGTTGAGCTACAACATGTTCCTTTTCTCTCAGGTGACTGCCATGCCCTCTTTGTGGGAAAAGCCTGCCTTAGAGAGCAATGGTTGTATGTCCAGCCCTCCCCTAAGAACAACAACCAAGGACAACTTGCAGGATACCCTTCAGAATGTCCCTCTGAACACACCTGACAATAAGCAGCACAAGACCCTGCACACTGAGCCCTCCCAACAGTCTGGCAGCAGCGAGAAGCTCAGAACCACATGCCAAAAAGCAGAACCCATTTGCATGGGTCATTTCCACAACCGCCTTGTCTTCCAGCAACAGCTGATTGAAAAGCAAAAGAAGAAACTTCAGGAACAGCAGAAAACAATTCTCGAGCTAAAGGAAAACCAGCGGCTGGCAGAGGCTCAGCGGGCAGCAGAGCATGCCACAGCAGTCACAGACAAACACAGGCACCTGCTGTCAAATCCCAGAGGAGAAGAGGAACCAAAGGAAACCTGCCAGATGCTTCCAAAGTATGTCGACTGTATCAGAACTCTCTCTGGACTAGTTTTGTAGGGTTTTTCATTTTGAGATAGAGAGGCTCTTGAACTGCTTTGCCCTGCTTCTAAACTCCATGATCTTTTCTTTTACTTTACACTCTCAAAGCAAAGAAGCCCCATATGTTATGACTGGCACATGGCAGGTATAAATAGATATTTAAGGCAAGTGGCTGCCTATAAGGATCCAGTTACACAGTTTGCATTTGGGTCATGGCTGCCTTTGTCTGAGGAGCTCTGTTACTAACCAGTTAAAGAGAAAAATGTTTACTTGCTCTGGGTAACTCCTAGATTTCTGGGTTTCTGATTATGTTTAATGCTAAGAAGTTAGGTCATACAACATCGGGTCAGCATCGAACAGCCCACCTTAAATTTATTGTTGTTTGGGATAAAACTAAGCATCTTTGAGCCTGTAATAAGAGTCCAGATTTCTCAAAAGCCATTTAAGATGGTTTCAGACGTGTTAGAGACATACTCACTATGTGTGGGAAAAGATAGGATCAGAAATGGTGATACCTATTGATTTGAAGCACTAGGACAGGAATCAGAGTACCTTATTCACATTGGACACTCTGGCCAGTCACTCAACCTCTCCATACCACATTACACTAATTTATAGAGTAGGTATAATAATATACAGTTATCTCAGAGAGTGAGGATTAATTAAAGTCTGTAACAGGCTTTGAGCTCCTCAGGTGAAAGAACTTTGAAGGAAGTTGGTTATTGGTCTGAATTCTTTTTTTTTTTTCTTTTTTCTGCAGTTTTTTTTTTTTTAATTTCAAAATATTACAGGGGTACAAATGCTTTTGGTTACATGGACTGCTTTTGTAATGCTTGAGTCAGGGTTATAAGTGTGCCCATCACCCAGATAGTGCTCATTGTATCCATTAGGTAGGTTTTCACCTGTCCCTTCAGACCCCTCCCCTCTGGTTGATTTCTGTTGAGTTTTACTTCCCTCTATGCATATGTGTGCTCATCAGTTAGTGCCAAGTTAATAGTGAGTACATATGGTGTTTGTTTTTCCATTCTTTAGATACTTCACTTAGTGTAATGTTCTCTAGTTCAATCCAAATTGTTGCAAAAGGAATTATTGCAAAAGTCATCCCTCTTCATGGCTGAGTATTATTCCATGGTATACATATACCACATTTAGTTAACCCAGTCATGAATTGATGGGCATCTGGATTGATTCCACATCTTAGCAATTGTGAATTGTGCTATGATAAACATTCAAGTGCAGGTGTCTTTTTGATAAAATGACTTCTTTTCCTTTGGGTAGATACCCAGTAGTGAGATTGCTGGATCAAATGGTAGGTCTACTTTTATTTCTTTGAGGAATCTCCATACTGTTTTCCACAGAGGTTGTACTAATTTGCAGTCCCACCAACAGTGTATAAGCATTCCTTTCTCCCTGCATCTACACCAGTATCTGTTGTTTTTGGACTTTCTAATAAGGATCCTTCTAACTGGGCTAAGGGGAAATCTCATTGTGGCTTTAATTTGCATTTCCCTGATGATTGAATTATTTTCCTATTTTTTCCCTCAGTGCACTTGTTGCTTCCCATGGGACTGAAGGCAGTAGAAGTGACTCCTGCAATTCTCTTTCTGGACCCAGAAGGAACCCAAAGCAGCTGATGGCAACCCATTCCATACTGAAAGGCAGGGCTGTCTTGGTGATGGCCTTGGTGGTAGTGATCTTTCTTTCTAGAATAGAAGATACTAGGATTGAATCCTGGCAACTCTAAGGTCTTGAGACTTGGCAGACCTGGTCAAAAGCTCAAATGAGTAGACAGTGAGGAGTGGAATGGAATGTGCCAGAAAACTCCACTACTTTTTTCCTGCCCCTCTTGCCAAACTCTTTGGCCTTCCCAGCCAACACAAAAAACATTGCTGAAAGGTGTATCATTTTTTTGTAATTTGAGATTTGGATTGTGGCCAAAAAAAAGGATAAGATAAATGAGTAAACTCTGAGTAGCTGATAAGGCTAAACACTGATAAAGATCACCTATCATTGTACTTTGTTAATGTTAAAATATTGATCAGTTTCCAGCAATGTAAGGCAAGTTATTATATCATTTTATAAGGAATTATGCCTTGATGATAGGATTTTAATAATGAAATATACAAACCAGATATTTTAATTTGATAACATTTTTGGTGCACATAGAAACTCTTATTTAAACTGAACAATACTATGAGAAGCATTCCTTGGAACACACCTAGTGAATCTGCTAATTGTTTTTACTGTATACTTAGTTACTCACTGTACATATGTTTGCATGTATGTAGTGGTCAGCCCTTTGATAGTTATATTGTGGATTATAAATTTGATTTTTTACCTGTGGCAAGATTGTTGCCCTAACAAGAAGTAATGACATCTGAAAGACACTGGGCCTGCAGTCAGTTTCTATTAGTAAAGAAATTAGCAGTCTTTGCACTAACTATCTGCTAGAACAGCAGCTTATGCTGACTTTGCCTACCATTGACGCTGATGAGGAAATGCCCAGTTAGCTGTGATCATTTTTTAAAAATTGCTGTTTGATCAAAAAGTTTGCTATTTTAGGATCCCAGTCTACTTGTCAAGTAGTCTTTAATGATTAGATCTAGAATAGATGGTGAAGAGGCTTATTACCAGAGACTCTGCTTCTCAGGGGTCTCTCACTTTAATTCCCTAATCTATTTCTGCCTTCTTAGAGACAGTCTCACTCCCACCATCTATGGTACCACCATTCTTTTGCAGCAAAACAGATACTATCAGTAAGAAATAGCCTGGTGAGTTTTTTGTTTATTAATTCTTTTTTATTTTCTTTTTTTTTCTTTTTTTACCCCCGAAGGATATGCAGGGAGATGTTTATTAATTATTAAAAGTTGGACTTAAATTCTCTTCTCTATAACATGGCACAAGGAACTGAAAGTAACAATTGGCTGGCTTAGGTGAGCAGAACTTGAATCTCTTCCTACCCATGCTCCTCTTCCTATGAAAGCCCCAACTGATTATAGAGTCATATTATCAGACCATCTTGCACATTTGTTTCTTTTGGATCGATATTTAATAGACTGTCAAGAACAGGAGTCTGACACTCAAATTTGTTCAGATGCCAGTTCTCCAAATGCCTGGTACAATTCCATTTCCTGCCCATCTGTATCTCCAGGCCTTAAAACTAGATTAAAATGTATTCATCGTGACCCCAAACTTTAGTTTGTTTGTTGTTGTTCTTACATATACAGACATATGTACAGTGACTTAAGAAAAATTAACAGACTCATTTAATAGGATTTGAGGAATGAGTCTATTCTCAAAGTATTTGTTAGATGTAATTAAAGTTTTCTACATTCATCAAAGGTACAATCAAATTAAAATTCTGGTTTCTGGGTTTTACATAAAAGTCTATCATTAATGCTCATTACCTTATTTAAACCAGTAAATAATTCTTTTAATAAAAATGCAAACAAAAACATAATCAGTAAATTGTTCAGCATTGCTGAGGATGGGATTGTAAATCTTTAACATGTAGAGTGTATGTAAGGTCTATATATCACTGCATATTTTCTGAGATTGTAAACACTCAAGTTGCAAGAAAACTCTAACAATAACACTAAATTTTACTATGAAATAGAGACATTTCTTTTGCAGTGTTCCTCATATTTTTCAAATATTAAAAATATTGGAACTCTGTTACTATTTTCTAGCTATGGAAGAGAGAGCAAGTCAACGAGCTGAACGTAGGCGAATCTTGGCAGAAAGGAAGAAAAAACAAGAAGAAGAGAAATTGGTAATAAATTCAGAATGCAAACTGAATCAAGAAAAAGGATTTGTCTAGGTCTTTCTTAAAAAATGAAACCTTGCTTGTTCAAACCTCTTGAGACAATAGAGTTAGATCAACTTTGGAAATGGCTTTTGGCCTACTTGCCTGAATTCCATGAAAATTTTAGAGGAGGAAGAGGGGAGAAAAAAACATCAATATCATTAGCATAGCAGAAAGGAAATGTTACAAAAGTTGATGGGCGCTAACAAATTGGAAGATTTACACATAATCATATTAGCATGTTATAGATAAATATCCGACCTGACAAATTTGCAAAAGGGAATAGTTCTTATCTTCCAAAGTTTTGACCTAGACTGTCAGAAGTTAATTTTGCACCTATGAAGAAAAAATAAACAGTTCTAACAGTTTGGGTTTTTGGTTTTTTTGGTGAAATGAAATAGGTTTTTCCCCCCACATTGTTTACAATTTAGATTTAGCTTTTCACAAATGAAAGTAAGAACTAAAAAGTAATTATGATGACAAATTAATGGTCTTATTCATGCTCAGTCTATTATCCAAGTAGAAAAGGATCCTTTTGGAAGAACTTTTAAGTTACATAACTGAAAACATACTAGTTGGGTTTTCTACTTTTATCACCAAGTGCCTTCCAGATGCCTTCCACAGACGGAGCAGGCACTTTGGTAGATACTTGACTATCCTGAACATAAAAGATCATATTCCCATACAAATTGAGGGTTCTGATTTTTCTGCATTCTAATCTTGATCAGGCCCAGTTGAAGGCCCAAGAGGAGGAGCGTCAGAAAAGGGAGGCAGAAGAAAAGGAGGCAGAACTTGAGAGAAAACGAGAAGAGAAGAGACTGAGGAAAATGGTTAGTAGTATCTGGTTGGTCAGTCCCTGCCTCTTGAGGCCTGTTGTATATGATTCTGTGGCTCTGTCACCTTCCCCAACCCAGAACTTGAGTCTGGAATACTCTTCTCTCATCTCCATCCCTTTTCTCTATCTTATTTAGTGGAAAGCTACTCATTCTTCAGATCTTAGCTCAAACATGACTTCTTCCAGATTAGCCTTTCTTGCCCTCAACAGCCTCCTCTCCACTCAAGGTCAACTTAGGTCCCCTTTGTAGACTCTTGTAAAGCATCTTTCCTTCACAACATTAATGATGTTTATAATTGTACATCTGTTTTATGGCTGTTTTATTCATTTTTACATCTCCAACTAAACTGTAATCATAAGAGTCAAGAGAATAGTCTGGTGGTGATAATTATTACATTGGCTAGCAGTGTGCCTGGAATTTAGTAGGCACTCAGCAAATATATGTTGAATGAGCAAATATATGAATGAATAAGAATGAACAAATGAAAATAACACATAGAAGAAATAAAGAGCCAAAGCTCTTACTTTCAAGGTTATTAAATTCTAGTTGGGAAGATAAGGTCTAAAAATACATACCTGGTCAGGTATGGTGGCTCTTGCTTATAATCCCAGCACTTTGGGAGGTTGAGGCGGGAGGATTGCTTTAGGCCAGGAGTTTAAGACCAACCTGGACAACATGGTGAGACCTCATCTCTACAAAAAAATTTAAAAATTAGCCAGGCATGATGGCATGTGCTTATAGTCCTATATGGGAGGCTGAGGTTGGAGGATTGCTTGAACCTAGATGTTCAAAGTTGCAGTGAGCTATGATTGTATGACTGTACTCTAGCCTAGGCTACAGAGTGAGACACCATCTCTAAAAAAAAAAAAAAAAAGAAAGAAAACATATAATGACCTGTCAGAGACAATATATTAATAGTACAGTACAGCATTTGCTATCATGTGCTACATAGACCAAAAGAGATCAACACAGTCATAATATAAGGCAAGATCCATGAAAATTTTGAAGAAATTAGAGTCATTTTCATGGAAAGGAAATTTGAATGGGAAATTGTGTTAGGATTTTCCTGAGAAATAGAACTAGGAGGACATACATATAGGAAAATATTTATTATAAGGAACTGGCTCATACAATTATGGAAGCTAAGAAGTTCCATGATCTTCCATCTGCAATCTGGAGACCCAGGAAAGCCAGGGGTATAATTCCAGTCTAAGTCTTAAGTTGGGGGAGATCAGGGGAGTTGGTATAAATCTAGCCTCAGGGCAGGAGAAGACTAAGATCCCAGCTCAAGCTGGCAGGCAGGAAGCAAAAAGGGGTAAATTCCTCCCTCTTCCTCCTTTTAGTTCTATTCAAAAGCCCTCAATGGATTGGATGATGCCCACCAACATTAGGGAGGGCAATCTACTAAATCTACCAAATGCTAATCTCATCTATAAACACCCTATAGACACACCCAGAAATAATGTTTAATCTGGAACCCTGTGGTACAGTCAAGTTGACACATAAAATTAGCCATCACAAGTTCACCCTTTGTTAACTTGGCACCTATACACGTCTTCTTAAACCTTATTTTATCTGCAAATAAGGACAATAGCAAGACCATAATTCTACCTAACATGATATAACTATCCCACATACAACTGAAAACGTACTAACCCCTTCCTCAGAAGAAGAAGTAAAGTCCTTGAGTATTTAATCTTCTCCTCGATATCCCATAACTTAAATACTATGATGTAAAATTAGCAATACTTAAATGCTATGACACAAAATCAGTACATCTTCTGTTACATGATAAGGGAATAAAAGAAAAGAAAATGCACAAATACATTCATAGCAAAATGATAAAATACTCATGACAATTACAGTTTTTGTTTCCATAACTTGATACATGGTCACTGCTAATATTTAAAACTACCTTCTTCCACTACCCACTCTGTATTTCCTTTGTCTTTAGCAAGCACTTCAGCTGCTATGTAGTCCTTCCTGGATTGAATTGTTGTAGTTTCCCATTGACCTTGATCACAGGGCATGGTAATACTAAGAGACACCCTAAGGGATCTCCTGTATTCTAGACATGTTCTTTCTCACCTCCATTGTGGAGTAGTAGTTCAGTTTCCCCGTGGCAGCCAGAATCAGTCACCCTAGCTTGCACCATAACTCCCTTCTTTGCTTGCTGATTCAGTGACACAAGGAGCCCAAAGTAGCCAGGTGGCAGTCTTAACTTCCAGTTCAATGGAATTGTTGTGTCTCCTAGTGGAAGCTTTTTCCCTCTGCAGCCAAGACCTCCAGGCCGGTAGAGCATAAAGGCACGGGAACAGGAAGCAAAAATTTTGCTAGTGGGTTACTAGAGGTAATGGTGAGTGGTGCCACTTCCATTTCCATCTCTTGATTCCTGGACCCATGAATCCTCACTATCAGAGAAACCAGACCACGTATTCAACACTGATTCAGAACACGTACAACCTTCTGGAGAACCTTGCCCCAGCCCTGTAAGGTATTGCCACCTAGCAGATACTATAACTGAGTCTTCAAAAGGCCATTCTGCTGTTCTACCAAGCCAGCTGCTTCTGGATGGTGGGAAATATGGTAATCACAGTGAATTCCATGAGCATGGCCCATTGCCACACTGCTTTGCTGTGAAGTGAGTTCCTTCATCAGAAGCAATGCTGTGTATAATACTTTGATGGTGGATAAGGCGAATCTGTAAGTCCACAAATTGTGGTTTGGGCAGACCCATTGTGTACAGGAAAGGCAAATCCATAATCTAGATAGAGAGTAAGTATCTATTCTAGTAAGATCAAAACACTGCCCCTTTCATGATGGAAATGGTCCAGTGTAATCAACCTGGTCAGCTACCAGGTAGCTGGCTGATCACCCTGGGGAATGGTACCAGATCAGGGACTCAGAGTTGGTCTCTGCTGCTGGCAAGTTGGACACTCAGCAGTGCCCTTAGCCAGGTCAACATTGGTGAGTTGAAGTCCATGTTGCTGAGCCTTTGTATAACCTTCAGCCCTGCCACCATGGCCACTTTGTTCATGAGCCCATTGGGCAATGACAGGTGGCTAGGGAAGAGGATAACTGGTACCTAGGTCATCCTGTGTAAGGAGCAAAATGTCAGGGCATAATATATAATTCATCCTTTTCTAAGTCAACCTAAGAAATCTCTAAAAACAGCTCAGTTTCCTCCCTTAAAAACTATGGTGAGAGGCTCTATAACAGCATTTCCACAAAATATTTTCCATGTGACCCTACTGGTTTCTGAGATACTAAGTTGTCTTAAGAAAGTCTAAGTTCTGTGGTCAAATAAGTTTGGTAGATGCCAGTTAAAGTAAAACAAGTTTCTTTATTATTAAATAGTTGGCTCCTCAATACCTTTAACATGCTACCAGGCATTGTATAAGTCTCCAGAAGAGGGACACATTATACCAGGTAGTCACATATATCTGACTATAGAATCCTTTTGTTATTGAGCACCGAGTAACACCTCAGAACAATTTAGGGTCATGCTACTATAACTGAATGAATGATTTTAAAAATATACAGTATAAAAAATTTCCCCTCTCATATATGTTCACTGTAGAAAATTTGAGAAATACAAAAATAATAGGAAAAAAATCTCTGAGCTCTGCACTAAAAATTGACTACTCTTAAAATCTCAGTAAGTATCTACTTCTGGTCATGTTAGGTTCATCATTTGTATGTATGTAGGTGTATATAGTTTTTAAGCTGCTTCTTTCATTTAAGATTCTGTCATGAGTATATTTACTTGCCATCCAGAATTCTTCAAGGTCTTTTATTTTATAAGGAGATTATCATTTTTTTAAATAAACTCTTTATTTTGGAATAATTAGATTTATAGAAAGTTACAAAGTAGTACAGAGAATTTCTATATACCTGCCCTTCCTTCCATTTATTTCCACTTACATTCTTATATTACTATGGTACATGTACTAAAACTAACAAACCAACATTAATACATTACTATAAACTCCAGATTTTATTTGGATTTCACCAGTTTTTCCATTAATGTTCAGATCTACTCCAAGGTACCACATTCCACGTATTTGTCATGTCTCCTTAGCGTCCTCGTGACAGTTTCTCAGTCTTTGCTTGTTTTTCGTGAATGTTTTGAGGATTTTGACAATTTTGAGGATTACTGGTCAGGTGTTTTGTAGAATGTCACTCAATTTGTGTCTGTCTGATGTTTTTCTTGTAATTATTCTGGTGCCATGGGATTCTTTTGGAAGCATGCCACCAAGGTGTCAGTGCCCTCCTAAGCACATCATGGCAGGGAGTGTGTAATATCAAGATGGTTTATGTCTGGTGATATTAATCTTGACGACTTGGTTAAGGCAGTGTTTGGCAAGTTTCTCCAGTGTGAAGTTACCATTTTTCTCTTTTCATAGTCTATTCTTTGGAAGTCCAGTGAACTCTCAAAGTAGGCAGGAGGGAAAAGTAAGCTCACTGCATGTCCTGAAGGGAGGAAGATCTACATATATTATTTGGAGTTCTGTGAGGAAAATTTGTTTCTCTTCCTTCATTTACTACTTTATTCAAGCGTGGACTCATGTACAGTCAGGTGTCACTTAATGACAGGGATATGTTCTGAGAAATGCATCATTATGTGATTTCATTGTGCAAACATCATAGACCTTTTGTCCATTTCTTTTTTTTTTTTTTTAACCCACATGAAGAAATTCATTCCTTTTGTCCATTTCTTAATTGAATTGTTTACTTATTGTTGGGTTTTAAGAGTTCTTTTTTTTTTTCTTGGAGACAGGGTCTTACTCTGTTGACCGGTCTAGAGTACATTGCTGTCAACATAGCTCACTGCAATCTCAAACTACTGGGCTCCCTTCTTTCAATTCTGATAGTGGCAATTTGTGTCTTTTTGTTCTTGGTTTGCTTAGATATAGAATGTTTGATTTCTTAAGTACTAAGTTTGACAGTTGATATTGCTGACATTTCACTTTGACACTTCTTGGGTTTTGGTT